GCAAGATGAAAAGCTTTGAGAAGATTTCTTCAGCAATACTCAAGAAGTCTAATGACTGTTCTGACAATCTCCACCCTTTATTCTCATGCAGAACACCTAGGCTATTTCCAAATAATTGAAATTTTGATTGTTCTTTTTAACCCTGACCTGTCATCCCCATATAATTTACATTTATGACTATTCCACCTCTATATGCACGAACATTTTGTTATCATTTTCATTCCACAGTAATCCATTAGAAATGTGCTCAACCCCCTCCAAAACAAAATTAAAGTCTGTACAAAATTAGAAAGGTAATTAACACCAAAATTTGCTGTCTTTATCATGATTTTACTGTAATATGATCTACTGAAGTAAACAACAGAAACTCTGCAGTGAAACTCTGTTATTGTTATTTCCCATTTACCACCATTTTGACAAGCAAACTGAGTTCAGTGTCTTAATCTCTCTTCCATAATTTCAGACATGATAAATAAAATGTCAGTTTACTAAAAAGTATGGTAGTAACATGAGAGAACTTAGGAAGGAATGGAGTTGTCTTTGGTTCCAAAATCTAGAGAGACTGGTTTCTTAAATGCTACAATTTAGGCATTCTTTAATTATATCAAATGCAGACAACAAATATACTTCATCTTCAGAAAAATCACTTGAGTTGGAGATAATCCAAAAGGATATTTTCAATATCAACCCATGGGAAGACAATCCTGTCTATTTAGGTCCAAGTATATGTGGTTAGCTCAGTGGTTAGCATTGCTGCCTCACAGCGCCAGGGACCGGGTTTGATTCCATCCTGAGGCGACTGTCTGTGTGGAGTTTGCATATTCTCTCCGTGTCTGCGTGGGTTTTCTCCGGGTGCTCTGGTTTCCTCCCACAGTCCAAAGATGTGCAGGCTAGGTGGATTGGCCATGCTAAATTGCCCGTAGTGTTCAGGGATGTGTAGATTAGGTGGGTTATAGGGGGATGGGTCTGGGTGGGATGCTCTTAGGGTCGGTGTGGACTTGTTGGGCCGAAGGGCCTGTTCCATACTGTAGGGATTCTATGATCTATGATCTATATCTCAGACACTAAAGCAGCATAAGAACTAGGCACATGAGTAGGCAATTGAGCTCCTTGAGCCTGCTCCACCATTTGGTACAATCGTGGCTGATCTCATCTCAGCCTCAGCTCCACTTAGTTGCTTGCTCTCCATAATTCTTTAACCAATTACTAATTAGAAATCTGTCTCATCTCCTCCTTGAACTTACTCAATGTCCCAGAATCCACCGCACCCTGAGGTAGGGAATTCCACAGATTTTGGCCCATTCATCTAACCTATCCATATCCAGTTGTAAATCCCTTATTTCTTCACTGCATTTACTTTCCCACTAAATTTAGCATCATCTGCAAATTTGACTATATTGCTTTCTATCCCACATCCATGTCATTAATATAGATTGTAAATAGTTGGGGCTTCAGGACTCAATTCTGTGGCACCTCACTGCTTATGTCTTGCCAACCAGAAGAGGACTCATTTATCTCAACTCTGTTTTCTATTCATTAGCCAATTCTGTATCCAAGCTAACGCATCACACCCAACCCCATGTAATGTTAACTTGCATAATAACCTTTTGTGTGGCTCCTTATCAAATGCCTTCTGGAAATCAAGGTTACTACATCTCAGGACCTCCCTTATACATATTGCTCGTTACTTCTTCAAAGAATTCTAAAAAATGAGTTGAACATGATTTAACCTTCATAAAACCATGCCGACTCTGATGGATTGTATTTTGATTTTCCAAATGTCCTGTTATTACAGGAAATGGATTTGAACAATTTTCCAACAACACATATTAAACTAACTGATCTGTACATTCCTACTTTCTGCCTCCTTCCCTTTTCGAACCAGGGTGTCATATTAGCTTTGTTCCATTCCACTAGAGCCCTTCCCGCATCCAGGGAATTTGGAGCAATATAAATAATTGGTATGAATAATCCATTACTTCTGCTGCCACTTCCTTAAAGATCATGCCTTGAGAATTTTGCATTCTATACTTTACGCAATTATAGCACAGGGTCTCTCTTGCCATATCATAATAGAATATTTTATGTAATCGTAATATCGTTTTTGATAGCTGCCTTTCAGAAGAGACAGCAGGGGCTCTCCTGGGAACAGTTCAATATTTATATGGGAATATATGAAAACCATTAATATTGCAGAAGAATCCTACCAATTGTAGAAGCTAATTTCCTGAAATCCTGACTTGAAGATTCAAGACTTTTTTTGCATATCAGACATCTGAATGAAAGACCAGGAGTATAGTTACTGTGTAATGAGGTTCAAACACTTGCATTGTATCATACCCTGTGTCAAAATTACTTAACACTTCCTCTGGGTGTATTTTACACTATTACATTATTAGAGTAATTTCCTGCACATTTTCATGTAATCCTCTTCAATTATGTTTTAATTTAATGCATATTACTTATTTTTGATAAACAGGGGAGTAAGATTTATGGAGTGCAAATAGGAAAATTGATCTGAGACTTTGATCAGATCAGCCATGACGTTATTGAATGATGCAGCAAGCTCACAAGGCCAAATGCATACTCCTGCTGCTAAGTCTTATATTTCAAAGAAAAACCAAAAGAACTGTGGATGCTGTAAATCATAAACAAAAACAGAAGTTGTTGGAAAAGCTCAGCAGGTCTGGCAGCATCAGTGAAGTGAAATCAGATTTAACCTTTCAGGTCCGGCGACCCTTCCTCAGAACTGAACTGTTCTCGGATTTCTCTTCACAGATGCTGCCAGACCCGCTGAGCTTTTCCAGCAACTTCTATTTTTGTTTCTTATATTTCAAAGTTTTAGAACTTGGTGCTTTCTAACTTTTTTATCAGGGTTGTGGAAACATGTAACTTAAATACTATATGCAGTAGTCTCAAGGACTTTTCAAATGAATATTAAATAATGCCGGCGAAGAATTAAGGACCATCACCATCACTACAGATGTAGTATTAGACAAACTAATGGGGCTAAAGACAGATAGATCCCCTGGCCCTGATGGCTTGCATTCTAGAATCCTAAAAGATGTAGTGGAGGCATTGGTTGTAATTTTCCAAAAATCCTTGGATTCCAGCGAAGTACTGGAGGACTGGAAAACTGCCAATGTGACATCCCTATTCAAAAAAAGCAGGGAGGCAAAAAGCGGGTAACTATAAGCCGATTAGTCTAACATCTATTTTTGGAAAAATCTTGGAATCAATTATTAACCAGCAGCACATTTGGATAGTTATAATCTAATCAAGCTGAGTCAGCACGGTTCCATTAAAGGGAAATCATGTTAAACAAATTTATTAAAGTTTTTTGAGGAAGTGTCAACCAGAGTGGATAGAAGGAAATCAAATGTGCTGTATTTGGACTTCCAGAAGGCATTCAACAAAGTACCTCCAAAAGATTTAGAAAAAAGAGCCCATGGTGTTAGAGGTAGTATATCAATTAAAAAAATGTCTAATGGGCAGAAAATAGTGAGTGGGGATAAGGAGTTCTTTTTCAGGTTGGAGACCTGTAAGCAGTGGGGTTCCAAAGGGGCAACTGGTTAAAATATGTCTTAATGACTTGAAGGAAGAAGCAAACATACTGAAGCCAAATTTGCAGATGACACAAAAATGGGTGGAAAGCCAGAAAGGATACTAAGAGATTATACAGAGACATTGATAGGTTAAGTAAGTGGGTAAAAAGTTGCCAAATAGAATATAAAGTGTGAAAATGTGATGTTGTTAATTTTAGAAGGCAGAACAAAAGAACAGAGTGTTACTTAAATGGAGAGAAGCCGCAACACAAAGGGACTTGGGGGTTACTTGTGCGTGAAACACAGAAAGTTAGCACACAGGTGCAGCAGACATTTGGGAAAGTGAATGCAATAGTGGTTTTTATTTCAAGGGGGTTGGCATATAAGGGTAGGGAAGTCTTACTGCAACTGTATAATGTGCTTGTGAGACCACAAATGGAGCAATATCTGCAGTTTTGACCACCTTATTCAAGGAAAGATATCATTTCATTGGAGGCAGTTCAGAGAAGGTTCACTAGGATGGTCCCTGGTATGGAAGGATTGTTTGTGAGCAAAGATGAAACAGGTTGGGTCTCTAATCACTGGAATTTAGAAGAACGAATGGTGACATCATCAAAACATATAGGATTCTTAAGAGGCTTGACAGGGTAAATGCTGAGAGGATGTTTCCCTTTTTGGGAGAGTCTAGAACCAGAGGGCACAGTCTCAGAATAAAGGGGCACCAATTTAAGATTGTGATGAGGAGGAATTTTTTTCTCTCAGAGAGTTGAGAGTCCTTGGAACTCCTTGCCTCAGAAAGCTGTGGGGGCAGAATCCTTGTGTATATTTAGGACTGAGATAGCTAAGATTCTTGATCAATAAGAAAATCAAATGATCAAGCATTACAGGGGAAATGGCAGGAAAGTGGATGTGAAGAATGTTTGATCAGCCATGATCCAACTGAATAGCGGAGTAGGCTGAAAGTACTAAATGAGCTACTTCTGTTCATATTCCTTGTGGTCTTACTAAAACAAAAACCTACAAACTATTTGGTAAAGTTTCAGTGAGGTTTAGTTTAAAAGATTCATCGATTCCACAAAACCTTTACAATGCATCTGTAATGTTTATATCCCTTGAATTAAGTTTTCCCACAGATCCCTCTCCATGAAGTTTTTATAACACTGCATTAATGCAAACGAGCTCCACACTGTAGCAATAGGAGCTGGACAATCCCACAGTAACAAGCGATGGGAGTCACTGGGAAATTTAACTAATGCATGCGGAAAACTGAATCAGTGAGGATCATCGCAGCAGAACCGCAACAGCAAACTGCAAACTTCCAAACATAACTTGGCCCCGAAATAATTGTCCGTGTCAAAACCGAAATATGTGAACCTGGATAATGATATAACCTCTCCGGAGTGGGCTGTAACTGCGCCTAACAGTCTTTTATATTTTTTATTCCGGTATACTTACTGGTTTAGTTCAACGTCAAGAATGAAGGATGAATCGAAAGCATCAACCTGGAAGGTAGCCTGGGCAATATGAGTGGCCTGCAAAAAAAATCAAAGAGCAACGATTAGTAAGACGGCCAACTGAGGTAATAGACAGCCGTCAGCAAAAAATGCATAGTGCAGACTGGAAACAAAAAAACGCATTGAAATTTTGTGCAAACTCAGATCACATTTAAAGACTGGGCGATATTTTTATTTTTTTTACAAAATGAAATAATGAATACAGATCGTGTGCTCGGGAATTACATGTCCTTAAAACAAAATCATATTTAATTGGGTGAAGCCTGTTTTGGATGCAGTGGGGTGTTTTAATTTGCTTGTGTTTTTTTTAGCAAAATGCAAAGCTCTCTGGGGAACGGGGATGCAGAGGGAGCTCTGCTTGTGTGCGCACATTTGAAGCAATGTAAATCAATGGGGTTGGACGGTGAGCGGGCACCTTACCGGGTGTGGGGATGCCTGCTGCTGGGCCCCGATCACACGGGTGTCCAGGCCGAGCTGCTGCCCGCTGGCCGGCTGTTGGAGGAGCCGCAGCGGCGTGGTTCTCTGAGGATGCTCCAAGATGCGCGCCGCCGCCTCCTTTCTCCTCCAGGCGTCGTCACCTTCAGGCGAACCTGCACGATTTCCCGGAAACACAACAACTTGCTTGTCAGCGCTGTTCGTGTAACAGGCAGAGCGTTTTATGTTTAACCTGCCCGTACCCTCCCTCCTTAACCCCTCACTCAGTCAGTCAAAGTTAAAATAAAACCAAATCAGACAACACGAGGTCGCAAAACCGCTCGGACAATTCCATACTAAAACTGTTATTCAGCGTTTCCTGGTTTCTCTCTCACACACACAAAAAGAAACAGCCCGCCCAGGAAAATGCCAAACGTGGAAAGATTAAGAAGATGCAGATTTTCGTTTGATAATCTTACCGGGGTTGCTATTGGCGCTGCCACATTGAAGGAGGTAGACTAGTCCAAATAGATATAACAAAACAATCTGAGATGGCAAAGGCTTCATATTTCATATTCTTTATCGCCCTGTAGGAGAAAATAACACAATACAATCTTCCCCTTTTTTTGTCGCAATATTTCTTGACTGGGACTACAGGATGCCTTAGGATACCATTCGTATTGTTTCCCGTGTTTTTTTTCCTCTCTCTCTATGCTCTGCTTCCCTCAGAGTGCAGGCTGCAGTATTTGATGACAGTGAGCATCCGAAAACATTCCCTCCGTTACTGCCTTCTCTCCCTCCTCTTCTTCCTTCTCTCTATCTATCTGGTCTCTCGCAGGCAGCCAGATCCTCCTCACTCCTGCTCCCGTACGTCCACGTCAATCTCCTCGCAACTTCTCGCCGGCTGCAGAGCTCAGGGTCCTCACTGAGCATGGGCAGCAGCGTTTGGAGGATGCACTCTCTAGCAGGACTGCAGCAGGAGGTAACAACTAATATAAAAGGATATATCACATGCTGGTATTAATATTTTGATCTATTGAACCCTTTCAAAGATCATTACTGAGAAAGTGAATTTACTTCCAAGGCCAAATGTGTTAACTTTGCAGTGCACTGCAGGTATTTAAAACTGTATCTTCAATTCTGTCATGACACAAATATAGCCTGAGATGAAAAAAACAAAAGGTCCTTTTTTTCTGATTTTATTTAAATTTTGAAAGATTTCCCAAACCATATTATACACAAATTTGATTGCAAGCAGCGTGTATGTGTATTATAATTTGTGTAATAAGATTCTGAAATTTATTTAGTACAGTTCTGTGCACAAAATAGTTTTCTTTTTGCATATCAATGCCTAAGCATTAAAACTGATTTGGACTGTACTGTAAGAATATTAATGATGACAGGGCAGTGTGTTGAAATAAAATCTGCTATTGTTCTCAAGTAGACCAAATGTAACATCAGTCTGGGCCACTACACGTTAGAAAGGTGTATTGACCTTGCAAGGGCTGCAGCACAGATTCAAGATTGATACCAGGATTTAATGAGTTTTCATGAAGATAGATTGCATAGTCTAGCCTTGTATTTCGTTGACTAATTAATTGATGTGTTGATAGTACTTTCAGAATTTGACAGAGTAGGTCATGTGAAACCTATTTCATCTAGTGGTGAAATCCAGAACAAGGAGGCACAACCTTAAAAATATTATCTGTTCATTGGAGGTGGGTATCACTGGCTAGGCTCACACCTAATTGGCCTGGAGAAGATAATGCTAAGCTACCTTCTTGATTCGCTCTTTTCCTGAGGGTGCAGGGCCACCTAATGCACTGTAAGGAAGATAGATGGAGGATTTTGCCTTAGTGCTAATGAAACTGATGAGCTAAATGATTTTGGAGCTGCACCCATCCAAGCAAGTACAGGATACACCATTACACTCCTGACTTGTGCCTGGTAAACTGTGAACAGGCTTTGGGAGAACAAGAGGTGGGTTACTCACTACAGAACTCCTAGCATCTGACCTGCTTTTGCAGCCACAGCATGTGTATCGCTGATAAGTTGAGTTTATGCTCAATTGTAATCCACAGGATGTTGGTAATGGGGGATTCAGAGATGGTAATACAATTGAACATCAAAAAGTGATGGATCAATTCTTTCTTGATGGAGATGGTCATTTCAAAGCACTTGTTTAGCATGAATCTTACTTGCCATTTATCAGCCAAGCATGGATATTGTCCAAATCTTGCTGCATTTGGACATGGACTGCTTCATTATCTGACAAATTGTAAATTATTTATATTGTGCAATCATCAACAAAATCCCAACTTCTGACCTGATGATGGAGGGAAGGTCATTAATGAAGCAGCTGAAGATGGTTGGGCAGAGGACACCACCCCGAGGAACTGCAGTGATGTCTAGGAGCTAAGATGACTGACATCAAATAACCACAAATATTTTCCTTTGTGCTAGGTATGACTCTAATCAGTAAACAAACTTCCCCATAATTCCTGTTTTGCTTGAACTTATTGATAGTGTACTCAGTCAATTGCTGCCTTGATGTAAAAGAAACAAAGTAGCAGGTGTAGGCTATTCAGCCCTTTAATCCTGCTCTGCCTTTCATTATGATCATGGTTGATTATCCAACTCAATAAACTGTTCCTGATTTTTAATTTACTGTTCATTTGTGGGATATGGGCATCGGTGGCTGGCCAGCATTTCTTCCCCATCCCTTGTTGCCCTTGAGAAGGTGGTGGTGAGCTGCCTTCTTGAACCGCTGCAGTCTACCTGCTGTGGGTTGACCCATAATGCCATTAGGGAGGGAATTCCAGGATTTTGACCCAGTGACAGTGAAGGAATGGTGATATATTTCCAAGTCAGGATGGTGAGTGGCATGGAGGGGAACTTGGAGGTGGTGGTGTTCCCATAAGTCTACTGCCCTTGTCCTTCTAAATGGAAGTGGTCATGGGTTTGGAAGGTGCTGTCTGAGGATCTTTGGTGAATTTCTGCAGTGCATCTTGTAGATAGTACACACTGCTGCTACTGAGCGTCGGTGGTGGAGGGAGTGGATGCTTCTGAATGTAGTGTCAATCAAGCGGGCTGCTTTGTCCTGGATGGCGTCAAGCTTCTTGAGCGTTGTTGGGGCTGCACTCATCCAGGCAAGTGCGGAGTATTCCATCACACTCCTGACTTGTGCCTTGTAGATGACGGACAGGCTTTGAGGAGTCAGGAGGTGAGTTACTTGCTGCTGTATTCCCACCTTCTGGCCTGCTCTTGTAGCCACTTTGTTAATGTGGTGAGTCCAGTTGAGTTTCTGGTCAATGGTAACCCCCAGAATGTTGATAGTGGGGAATTCAGTGATGGTGACATTCAATGGAATTTCAAGGGACGGTGGTTAGATTGTCTCTTATTGGTGATGGTCATAGCCTGGCACTCGTGTGGCGCAAATGTCACTTGCCACTTGTCAGCCCAAGTCTGGATATTGTCCATATCATATTGCATTTGAACATGGACTACTTCAATGTCTGAGGAGTCATGAACAGTGCTGAACATTGTGCAATCATCGGCGAACATCCCCACTTCTGACCTTATGATGGAGGCAAGGTCATTGACGAAGCAGCTGAAGATGGTTCGGCCTAGGACACTACCCTGAGGAACTCCTGCAGAGATGTCCTGGAGCTGAGATGATTGACCTCCCACAACCACGACCATCTTCCTATGTGTCAGGTATGACCCCAACCACCGGAGAGTTTGCCCCCTGATACCCATTGATTCCAGTTTTGCTAGGGCTCCTTGATGCCACACTTGGTCGAATGCAGCCTTGACATCAAGGGCTGTCACTCTCACCTCACCTCTGGAATTCAGCTCTTTTGTCTATCTTTGAACCAAGGCTGTAATGAGTTCAGGAGCTGAGTGACCCTGGTGGAACCAATGAGTATCACTGAGCAGGTTATTGCTGAGCAGGTGCCGCTTGATAGCACTGTTGATGACACTCACCATCAATTTACTGATGATCGAGAGTAGACTGATGTGCTGGTAATTGGCTGGGTTGGATTTGTCCTGCTTTTTGTGTACAGGACTTACATGGGCAATTTTCCACATTGCCGGGTAGATGACAGTATTGTAACTGTACTGGAACAGCTTGGCTAGGGGAGTGACAGTTCTGGAGCATAAGTCTTCAGAACTATTGCTGGAATGTTGTCAGGGCCCGTAGCCTTTGCAGTATCCAGTGTCTCCAACCATTTCTTGATATCACGTGGAGTGAATTGAATTGGCTGAAGACTGGTATCTGTAATGTTGGGGACCACTGGAGGAGGCCGAGATGTATCATCCACTCGGCACTCTGGCTGAAAATTGCTGCAATTGCTTCAGCCTTATCTTTTGCACTGATGTGCTGGGCTCTTCCATCATTGAGGATGGGGATATTTGTGGAGCCTCCTCCTCCAGTGAGTTGTTTAATTGTCCACCACCATTCATGACTGGATGTGGCAGGACTGCAGAGCTTAGATCTGATCCATTGGTTGTGGGATCACTTAGTTCTGTCTATCACTTGCTGCTTTCGCTGTTTGGCGTGCATGTAGTTCTGTTTGGTGGCTTCACCAGGTTGATACGTCATCTTCAGGTATGCCTGGTGCTGCTCCTGCATGCCCTCCTGCACTCTCCATTGAACCAGGGTTGATCCCCTGGCTTCATGATAATGGTTGAGTGGGGGATATACCTGGCCATGAGCTTACAGATTGTGTGCTGGAGTACAATTCTGTTGCTGTTGATGGCCCACAGCACCTCATGGATGCCCAGTCTTGAGTTGCTAGATCTGTGCGAAGTCTGTCCCATTTAGCACGGTGATAGTGCCACAGTACATGATGGAAGTTATTCTCAATGTGAAAGTGGGACTTCGTCTCCACAAGGACTGTGCAATGGTCACTCTTACCGATACTGTCATGGACAAATGCAACTGCAGCTGGCAGATTGGTAGGGATGAGGTCAAGTATGTTTTTCCCTCTTGTTGGTTCCCTCACCACCTGCCGCAGACCCAGTCTAGCAGCTATGTCCTTTAGGACCCGACCAACTTGATGAGTAGTACTACTGTTGAGCCACCCTTGTTGGTGGCCATTGAAATCCCCCACACAGAGTACATTTTGCACCCTTGCCGTCCTCAATGCTTCTTCCAAGGGTTGTTCAACATGGAGCACTACCGATTCATCAGTGAGGGTGATCAGCAGGAGGTTTAACCCTAAGCCATGAGGCTTCATGGGGTCCGGAGTCAATGTTGAGGACTCCTGGAGCAACTCCCTCCCGACTGTATACCACTGTGTCACCACCTCTGCTGGGTCTGTCCTGCCGGTGAAACAGGACATATCCAGGGATGGTGATGGTGGTGTCTGGGACATTGTCTGTAAGGTATGATTCTGTGAGTTTGACCATGTCAGGCTGTTGCTTGACTAATCTGTGAGACAGCTCTCCCAATTTTGGCTCTAGCCCCCAGATGTTAGTGAGGAGGACTCTGCAGGGTTGACAGGTCTATTTCTACCGTTGTCTTTTCCGGTATCTAGGTCGATGCCAGGTGATCCGTCTGGTTTCATTCTTTGAGACTTTGTAGTGATTGGTACAGCTGAGTGGCTTGCTATCACCTTCCCCATATGCTTTGATCCCTTTAGCCCCAAGTGCTGTATTCAGTTACTTGTTGAAATCATGCAATGTTTTGGCCTTCACTGCTTTCTGTGGTAAGAAATTCCACACTTTGCGTGAAACATTTCTCCTCATCTCAGCCCTAAATTGTAAATCTTAGACTGCGACTACTGGTTCTGCAGTTTCCCATGACTGG